TCTTCCATTGTTTGATTGCTTGCCTGGATTTTATCTTCAAGTTTTCCTCTCTGCCTTTCCACCTTCTTCCTTCTTTCTGTCACTCCTTGTGTTATGTTATCAAATAGTCATTTAGTCTATTAATATTCATATTCTCATACATATTTTAAATGTTTATTTTATATACCAATGTTCCCTTTTCCTCATGGATTTTTTAAAGAATATTTTCTGTATCTGTGAAGTATAGCATTATATTGGCTATGTCAATATGTCAACTTATCAATATTTCCAAGTATATGGATGCTCTTTCTATGCATAGATCTACTTTTCTGTTATTTTGGAGAAAGACTTCTATATTTTAAAATAGATGTTGCTTTCTATCAAATTTACATTTTCTGAGAGACTGTTTATATTGAATCTGATCTTTCTGTTCTATATGTATATCATTGTTTCCTAACTTGTTATCTTTATATACTTTCTTTATATTATATTAAGCCTTTCCTCTGTGACAGTAATATCTATTTACTTAACACAATACCTTTATTTATTTTTATGTCGTGCTGAGAATTGAGCCCATTGCCTCACATGGGCTAGGCAAATGCCCTATCACTGAGCCACAACTCCAGCCCAGTAATACTCATTTTTGTATTGTTTAATTTCATCCCCTGATGTTTTGAATGCATTAATACTTTAAAAATGAGATTGGTTGTGTATTTAACTTTATAATCCCCATCATTATTTTGCTATCTCATTTCTCAAATATTCCTCCCCCTTCCTTCCTTTTCTCCCTCTTTCTAGTCTTAATTTCTAGGTTTGTTCCACCCTCCAGGATAAATATCTACTCTAGAGTAGTAGTACTTTTATTATTTTCTAAAAATTGACACATAAAAATTGAACAAGTTTCTGGGGTACTAAGTGGTATAGGTGGTATATTGGTGCTTGTATCTGTTTTGTAGTGTTCAAATCAGGTTAAACATTTCTATCTCCTTAAATATTTATGGTGTGTGTGTATATATATGTATGTGTGCATGCACGCACACACAAACACATAGTGAAAACATTCAAAATCTTTTCTTTTAACTTATAATTCCTATTCTTTTAATACCACCAAAGAAACACAGGGTTCAGGATATCAAGAGACCTGGAAGTTGGTGAGAGCATTTCTCAACCACCATTTTCTCTTTATTCTAAAACATCAGCGCACATCCTCTGGGTATGAGATACACTTTTGGGTTCAAAGTCAAACAGATCATGAGCTGCTGCCCACCATGTGGAGACATGGTTACAGAAGTTTCAGTCTCCACCAAAAAGCATCTGCCTCAAAAGACAGGGGCTTCCAGATGGTATAAAATAGAAGATATGATAGATATGATGAACCACCATTAGCACATCCACAGCTTTCAGATAATTTCAGTGAGCACATCCTCTTCCTTCAGGAGAAATATGGAAGTACAAGCCAGAAAAATCTTTGACCCGAGAGCAACTCATCAAAAATTTCACAGGTATCACACTGTGAAGCATGTGAAGTTAAACTCCCAAGAAAGAAACAGGCAATGTGATGACTTGGGAACTTTAGCAAGTTTTTAATTCACCTTTCTCCCTGAGTGAGAAGGTGGAAAGCAACAACAAATTTCACTGGTGAGTGTACTGGGATTTTAGGCATACAAGTAGACTATGACCTATAAAAATGAATTTCTCAAAAAAAAAAAACCCTCATGCTTATTAGTGTTATTAATTCTGTCCACAAGTTCTATTGGGTCCAAATTTGGGGAAGGACACTTCCATGACTCCCTCCCTTTCTATAGAATCCTCTTTTTCCCTCTATTCCAGGTGTGGTTTGAAAGATGAGTGTTATTTTTATCTACTTTTATATCCCTTTAGAGCAAAGAGTTAAAGTTACCTGATAAGTGTATTTACAAACCTAGTTGACTAGGTTTTGTTCCTTTTGGGGATTTGATTGGTTGAATGTTTTTTTTGCCTATGTTCACCAGAGTAAACACAGGAGTATCTTAATCCTAACAAAAAGACACTAAGATTTGCACACTTCTGTGATTCATCTTGGAACACCAGTTGTAGGGAACCCTGTCTGGTTTTTTCGTTTTGTTTTGTTTTAATCTACTGAACCTCTCATAACTTCCTTGTGATATGTCAAAACTGCTGGCCTCTTAGCAGTTAAGCAGTTAAGCTTGACTCTTCCTCAACAGTCTGCGCTCACTGTTCATCTACCTCTTGGTAATAGAGGATTTAGTGATAATTCTCAGGATTTTGTTAACCCTTTCTCTTTTTCTGGGAAGCTCCTGTGACATATGATGTGTTCAGGAATGCTGCTAAGCTGTATTAGAATCAGCCTTCTGCTCCTAAACACCAATTTTTAGGTCTTCTGGCAGCAGACTATAACTTATTCTTTGGTTGCTACTGCTTAACACTTTCCTACATTTTTAATTTTTTCCTTTATTCCCCCCTCCCCCAATTTCTCTAGATGTTAAAAGAAAGAGATTTTAAGACCTGTCCTATTTTTTCTTTTTTTATTTTGGAGACTATTCTCCTGTGAAGGTCCTTTTGAAAAGAACAGATCATTGGAATGGGCTTGCTAAGTTTTATTTAAAATATTTAGTACACAGAACTGGATTCTTACCTGCACGTTCTAATAAATATATTAGATGACATTTGTACTTTCCTATCTGTCAAGAATGTGCAAATTACATAAATGACTCATAGACATTCATAATTATTGTATCTTCATTATGATTTCTAGATTTTTGGTTTTACACAGAGTTTTTCTTCTTGTTCACTCCATTTTGACCTGAATATGGCTGACATATGTACCAGTCTCTGCATTTTTGACAGTCTAGAACAAAACTGGATTTTGTTTTTTATATATAGCATAAAATTAGGCTTTGCTTTATTAACCAAACAAAAATGCTAACTAAAATTTGATCTGTACATCTAATATATCATGAAATACAAACAAAATTGATTGATTTGTAGCATATGAACCAAATTTTCCTAGTTTTTAACTCAATATTTTTTCAACACATAAATTAGACTGACATATTTATTATCATCTTAAGCAGAGTCAAAAGATCTGTTCAACTGGGCATGGTGACACACACTTTAATCCCAGCTACTCACAAAGGCTGAGGGAGGAGAATGGCAAGTTCCAGGTCAGCCAGGGCAACTTAGCAAGGCCCTGTCTCAAAATAAAAGAATAAGAAGTACTAGGGATATAAAACTCAGTGATAGAGCACTTGCCTTGTATGTGTAAGACCACAAAACCAAAAGCAAAATAAAAAAAAAATCAGATCTGTTCGAAGAGCAGTATGAAATGATGGATTTTAAAATAATAGTTCAGAAAGTTCATTGATTTGGTTTCAGATTCCTCATTGCCCCTCATCCTAGGAAACTACCTCTTGTAAAATTTTTAGTTTTCTAACAAAAAATATCCACAATTGTCTGATAAAGACAGTAAAATATCCTTCCCCTTTTCAACTAAATATCTGAGACTGGATTTCAGATATACTACTACTAAAATAACATATTGCTCTTGACTTAATGTAGACACAAGCATTAGAATCTATCTGTTCTCTATCAGTCAAGCATTTGTGCAATTTGAAAAAAATAACATTTTTTATTTTAGAAAATTTGTTAATTTTCACTAAAACATTTACAGATACATTATTTTCATTTTAACTGAATTAATTAATTTTAAATATGTTCACATTTTTTATTTAAAATTAGAAATTTAAGGTTTCTAATGTCAACAGATATAATCCACATAGATGAAGTTCTCTGAAGATCTTCAATTTTTTTTAAGAGTATAAATAAATCCTGACCAAAATGCTCGGGAACAAATAATTGACAGTCGTGTTTAGACCATCAAGAGATTTCTGTGTTCTAAAGGTAAAAATCAAGTCAACGATATGACCTCAGTTAAAAATATTTTAGTATCACATGGGCCTTCATTTCCCATATAATATTTCCATTTGTGAAAACACCATTCCTCCTCTGTATAAGAATGTCCTTCATCATCGATTTCACTTGGATAATTCTTTCTCATTCTGGTTTCAGCTCAGGCAGTACTTCCTAGGCAAGTGTTGCTTGGTTTAAGACTCTCTTGAAATCATGCTCTTGTACTTCAGAGCCTTGTGTTTCTTTCTAATCATACATTTATCATGGAAATAATCTGCTTAGTATTTGTCTCCCAGGAGATGAAAAAGTCATGAAACCAATAACCATGCATGTGATTGGTTATGGTTTAATTTTCTTGTGTTCTTTCTCTGTAGTAGAATGCTCAGCACAGTGTAGGATGGCAAATAAAATATTTGTTGTCACAAGAGTCTGTGGATGAATATATGAATTAATAAATAATGAGTGGAGTAATAAAGGATTGGACCTAGTATGAATGGCTTCTTCCAGCATGTAAGACTCAAGATAGAACACTAGAAGAAAATGCATTGATTGCCATTTAGATCATTCATCATATCTTGCTTTAGACAATATTATTACATATTCTTGCTAGCTATTTATTTTACTAAGGAAACAGGAAGTAGTAGTAATAATGTACAATCATGTTTAGTTGTGTTAGTGAATGTTCTGCAGCAAGCCTGGTAATAAGCAATTGTTGGCAAGCAACTTCTTGAATTTCCATGACTTATTATTATTTCCTATAAATTATATTAGAATTCTGTTATGTATGTTTTTCTTCCTATAGTCTCATCTGTTACTCTTTTTCTTAAAAATCTACATCTGAATAACACATCTACTTATCGTCCTCATACCTCCTTTGTTACTAGCCCATCATTATAATAAACATACATTGTTATAAGTAGCTGTCTAATTTATCCATCTCTTGATTGGACTATTTACTCCTTAAGAGTTTGGACTGTGTTTTATTCATCTGTATATCCATAGAACTCAATAAGGTATTTAGCATTTGATAAGCATTCAATAAATTAATGCATTGAACTAATATTTAATAAATGGCATTACATGTTCCTCAACTTTTTATTAAATTCTTTCAGTTAAAACACAGGTAATGGGAGAAATCAAAATTGCATTGAAAAAGGAAATGAAAACAGATGGTGAACAATTGATAGTTGAAATTCTCCAGTGCAGAAATATTACCTACAAATTTAAGTCTCCTGATCATTTACCAGGTAAGTAATCTTATGACAATGGTAAATATATCTAGAAATTTATTTGGGATATCTCTTAAATGTTATAGGAAACACTAATTCAAATGTAATCAGTATACTGACCACAATTATATACATCAAAGAATATATATTATATATAGATAGATAGATAGATAGATAGATAGATAGATATAGATATATAGATATGAAAAAAAATTCTGTTGTATAGGTCAATTTTTTCCTAGTTTTTGGTTAGATTCTTCAGCACACAAATTAGACAATTATATTTATTAATCAACAAGAAAACAAATCCAAGTTGATAAGAAGTTGGTATGTTTTTAATCACTTTATGTTTTCTGAAACAAATTGTACACCATTTATTGCCTCTGTGTAAAATATAGGTAGAACTCTCAACATGAAATTATAGTTCTTTCAGTAGAAAATTATCTGGTTTATGGAAACTTACTGGGATGGAATCTTATTTTCAGATTTATATGTGAAAATATATGTCATGAACATCTCTACCCAAAAAAAGGTGATCAAGAAAAAAACAAGAGTATGTAGACATGATCGAGAGCCTTCATTTAATGAAACTTTTAGATTTAGCCTCAGTCCTGCTGGACATTCTCTTCAGGTAACTCTATAGTTACTATTTTTAAAATTTCATTCATGTTTTATTTATCCATTTTCTATTTGATTTTTAAATATTTATTTACTTATCATATACATATGACACTTGAGAAAATGATAAATCCTTAGAAGCATCTCCCCCAAAACTATTTATACTTTTGTAGCCCACTCACTTCATCCAGTCATCTGCCAGTTCTTTTCTACTCTGGCCATTCTGTTAATTTTACATTGATTCCCCATACTTCCATGTTACTGCCATTAATCCTCTTTGTCTCCCATCTTTGTTATTCACATTATTTTGGTAGTTTATATGGCCAAATTGTCATTGATGTTTTATTCCTTTAATTCATTTTATCACACTGTTTACCTGAGTTATCATTTAAAAACACTAGTTGGGTTGCCATTTTTCTTTAGTCATTCAGAGTCCTTCAAGGTGAATTTCAGTTGTATTGATTTAGTCATGGCTCCTTGTATACTTTTCCACTCACTCAATACTCCAGTCACTCCAGAATCTTTTCAAATCAGGCTAAGCTTCCAATCTTTGCTCATATTTTTTCTCCACTTCAAAGCTCCTTTGTCATTCCTCTCCGTCTATCACCATACTCCACATTTTTTAAATATAAATGTCATGCTTTTACTGGTGATCCCGGATAAGTATGTAATTTTGACTATTTTTTTTTTTTTATAGATTTTGCTTTTCTCCAATGGAGGGAAGTTTATGAAAAAGACCTTGATTGGTGAAGCCTGTATCTGGCTTGACAAAGTGGATCTTAGAAAAAGAATAGTCAACTGGCACAAACTTTTGGTCAGTCCTACTCAACCACATTGAAGAAAAGTGTCTGCTCAGGGTATAAAATGGATCTACATAGCCTCAAATCAACGTTATAGTCAGATACTATTGTACTGAGCTATTTTCAGAGGCTAACATGAAGTGGGAACAACAGACGAAAAGCATGTTAAAGCCTTGTAAATTTACTGCTGAGGGACACAGAAAAAGACACAGAGAAAGTTTACATGTTGATAACCAACCCACAAAAGTAGAGCTCTGAGACCTTGGATTTCCCATGACTGTGAAGATAAACCATGAGAGACATTTTGGATACTTAAGGCAAAAATCTTTGAGTAGAGTGAGCTGTAACTAAAGACAGCCTCAAAGATTGACTTGGCTTCCAAATGCAGCGCAGACGCAATTCTTTATGCAAAGAAACCTTGGTTGAAAGAACTGAAATAATGAATCTCTGTTGTCAAAAAGCCTTCTTCTTAGTGTTCTCAGGCAACTTGCTGTTTTGAGATCCTGATATAAGATACATCTATAATATGTGTACAGGACTGGACATGAGGTGGCTGTGTTTGTAGGGAAGATGGAACAGGAGATACAGAAATCTTGGCTTTTAGGCCATATCATACAGGTTTTCCCTTTGTAAATGTTACAGGGATATACAAGACCAGTTTTGGAATCCTTATGGTTAAAGCACATTTGTTTTAATAGAATTTGAAATATATAGAGTGAAGATAATACTAGGTAGACATGAAATTACATTTATCTAGAAATAAAACCATGAATGGTTAATAAAGAAGAAAGTTGACCCACAAAATATTGGAACTCTGGTTGAAAATATCAAAGTCTCCATAATTTATCATTAAGCCACGGCATTTCCATCTACATAACAAAGGGCCTAGATTAAATTGGTATGTCCTAGGAAGCATGATCAGTTCTTTGTGGTATTGTATATGAATGTATTAACCTGCATTTTCCTTTTTCTTGAGTAACATATTGTTAGAAAATTCTTCCTCTGGCAAACAAATCATATTAATTTCATTTAATTAATTAATTAAATTAGTATAATTTCTTGTTATCCATAATTTTTTTTCATGAAGTCATTAACTGATTGTACAATAATAACTCTCACATCAAACTCAAGTTCTCTCAAGTACTCTCTTTTTCTCTATTAGCGACAATATCATAGTGATCAAGTTCATCAATGTGGGGAAAATGTGAAAAAGTCAACATTTGAGATTAAAACATACTTTGAGCTATTTTAATAATATACAATGACACAACCAAGGTTTAAGTTATTAAAGTGAAGCATCCTCTTCTCCATCAACCCACCACATTGACAAAGGAAGTAATGTGGATTTGCAGAAAACACACTCAACTGAGATTAGAACCCTGGCTTCTGTCTAGATTCTGCTACTGACCTTGTACATGTCACTTTGAAAATGTCACTTAAACTCAGTTTAACCCAGTTTTTTAAATTGTAGGTAATAATAATGATACATTCCTAGCCCTCCTCATTGGGATGTTGGGATGATTCAATGAAGAGATCTATGAAAAATGAAAGCACATTTCCAAATATAATCTTACACAGAAGTGAAGAATAATTGTTATGTAGCTTCTTAATTCTCAAATTTTGTATGTGAGAAAAGTCCTCTAAACCAATGGTAAGCATTGTAATAGATAAAAGCAGTAAATTTGTTCCCAAACTCATTTTTTTATTTAAAATATGAATATTCATTTAAAAATATGGAAGAATTAATTAAAAATTATTTGTTTTATTATACTAAATTAAATAAATTATATTGATCTCATCTTATTTCCATGTCCTGACCAAAATAAATTTTAATTGCTTCTCAGAGCATTTTGAACTTAAAAGCTGCTATTTCAAGGTGAGGTTTTAGTGGTTTAATTAGAGGAAATGAGTACCAAAGTGTTGGTTGGATGTCAAATTTTCTCATTTTTAGAGAGAAATTACTTTCAATTAGAGAGTAATATAAAACACTAAAACTAAAGAATTTGTAATATATATCCCAGGCTATATATCTTTATAATACTCATAAAGAAATACAGATTCACTTTTCCCAACCTAACATGACCATCACTTTTCTTCTCTATATTTTTTAATCCCCCTCGTCTGATAGTATAATAACATTGACCATTAATGCTACTCTAAAGTGAGCATAGAGGAGGTAAATCATCAAAGATATGATATTGCTAGGATTTTATTTTTAGAGATTACTAGATCTGCTGATAGTTGCCATGGATATTTCCAGCAGAAGCTAGCACTTGGGGAAGCCTGTAATCATCAGTCATAATTGGGGAAGAAAAAGGTCCAGGAAGATCTCCTTCTGACATAATAAGGCTCTGCTGTTTGCTCTTAAAAGGATACCCTGGCTCACCTTTGTTCTCTTCTCCAGCCACTTTCATCCAGAGGTATGCATGAGAGGTTGTATAACCAGTTAGCTTACTTCATTGCAGTTGCAATTTCTTTTGGAATAATACAAATGGAGGGCCAATTAAAACAAAGATCATCCCTTAATAGCTATTTAACCTGAAAGAATAAGAGCCTTTCTATTCTAGGTGCCCCTCCATTCCAAGAAACTAGTGATAAGATCAATCAAGAAGGTCAATGACAGGGCTTCTTTTCATGCACCAGCATTCCCCTTCAGAGAGCATAAGATCCTGCCAGCGTGCCAAGTTTGCAACTGACCAAACTCCTAGGTTGTACTGGAATTATTCTATGCAACACTGATCCTTATATGAATGCATTTCTTCTGAATGGTGTTGATTACCCTTCTTACAACTAAACTATTTCTTTTTTAATTTCATATAGGGCTCTTGGTATTTTTTACTTTTTTGTATATATCACAGCACATGATTTTCCACTTTTTATTTTATTTAATTTTATTGAAATTAGCTTCTTTTTATCCTAATAGCAACAGTTTGTAATCTCTAATTAATATGTGACTAGTCCAAATACAACACCTATACCTTGAAAAGCATCAGAATTTTCCACTATTTCATTGAGTCATCAAAGACTGAAGTGGTATGTTACTTGAAAATTTGGTCCTAAAGAAACATAAGCTGTAGAGGAAAAGCACAGAGAGAATTTTTACAAAAGACAGAGACTCTAGAACTGTCATTACAGACACAGACTACACTGGTAGCAAGAAGTTGGTGTTTTCCCTGTTTTTACTTAAGATTAGGGAAATTTTCTGTGACTATGAACTCTTTGTTTACCATTTTGGTTCAAAAGAATAATACCCAAGACAAAGGGGTAGCAATTGTTTTTACTCCTTAATATTGCCCATATTTTAATAAATCACACTAATTAAATGCATATTTTCAGCATATCAATAAGATTAATTTTGTGAATCACACACATTAAAATAGTCATATTGTGGGATTATTATAGCTGGTAACCAGCTGATATTGATTCTTATTATAGGAAAGGTCGTGACGATGGTGGTGGTAGCGTAGTGATACTAATGGTGGTGATGTGAAGTAAAATATAAATTGTATATTATATGTGCCCAAAATATTAGGAATTATTTGATCAATGCTTCATTTCATCAAGAAATCATAAAGATGTTTATAGTATTTTTTTACTTTATTATTTAAATCATAACTAACAATATTTTTAAAAACTTATTTTCATTGCTAGAATGTCTAATATTCTAAAATCAGCCAACTTACAGCTATGTGTTTATAAATATATGTGTGACAGAAGTGATTTTCCCTCTTTTTGAGCTTGAAATGAAAATGAGAGGTAGCTAATTATGAGCTGTTTCTTTAATAATTTCTTGCCTTTGGTATAATACAAGAATGAATGAATGAAACAGATTTTCATTGAATAAGACACACTGATGTTTTCTGTATGTCCCATGTTGTTATTATTAAAGTTACCCATTAAACCAAAATCATTTAATCAAATCTCTTATCTGATAGGTAGATTGAGAGCATTTTCTTAATTCATTACCCTGTACATAACTATACATTTGGTAAAATAGATGAAGTTGAAATATTCATTTTTTGGCATTCAGCATGTGAATATGATTATTATTTGATTGTGTCTATATATTTGTTCAGTGATGTGCTCAGGTGCTCCCACTACTGATTAATGTGTGTGCTAATATCCTAACAACACATATGATGTTTAAAAAATTTCTTGTCTGAGAAAATTAAGAACCTAATAAAGTCAATTTCAAAACAAAAAACAAAGTACTTGGAGATATGTCTTGTTTGTGACTATGTTGCATGCTGTGTTGGTGATTTGCTAATATTCTTTTCTCTTTCTTTCTTTTTTTTTTTCTTTTTCCCCCCTTTGGTTTGCCCAAATCCCTCTGGGAAATCTAATGAACAAATGCAAATTCTCGGACTAAAGATGGTATAAACTGACCTGAAAATAAATGAGAATTATATTTAAAAAATGCTTGTAAATCTGTCTTGAGTTTTATTCTATGTAAAAATATGTCTTGGTTTTGTGATTGTATACAAGATGTATCTTGATAACTTATGTAAATTGTGCTGTATAAAGGCTGTTGTCTCAGCCTTACTAATAAATATTGAAAATGTGAACTTTGATGTCTTCAGTTTATCAACGAATTTTGGGACCCAGGCATATGCCCATTTGTAAATATTGTCAATGTGAAAGCAAAGTTTAAAACTACCACTCTAATAAAACAAAAAGCAAAAAGAAAGGAGATGATAAGAAAGATGTAGATAGATTTTAGATCATTTATGAAGAGGTTCAAAGAGAGTCCTTCTGATGGCTACAGTTTTCTCAGTGGAATAAGGAATGAAGTTATCTGCTTAGAATGGATTAAGTATTTGAAGGGAGTACAGGAGGTTTAAAACAGTTCTGGGGTAGAGTGGAGAATAAGTAGCCAGGAAGAGAAAGATTCTGTGCATGTTGGGGGTCCCTTTGAGCTTAGTGACAATACAAAGTGAAAATAGCTCAGTGCTTGGTTCATCTTTGATGTTCTCCACCCTGGACTTGGAGTCTATTCATCACATCACAAATAGGACATGGTAAGTCTTAGTTAGAATGG